GAGAGGGAGGGGGATGATGTGGGGGGTGAGAGAGGGAGGGGGATGATGTGGGGGGTGAGAGAGGGGAGGGGGATGATGTGGGGTGTGAGGAGAGAGGGGGATGATGTGGGGGGTGAGAGAGGGAGGGGGATGATGTGGGGGTGAGAGAGGGAGGGGGATGATGTGGGGGGTGAGAGAGGGAGGGGGATGATGTGGGGGGTGAGAGAGGGAGGGGGATGATGTGGGGGGTGAGAGAGGAGGGGGATGATGTGGGGGGTGAGAGAGGGAGGGGGATGATGTGGGGGGTGAGAGAGGGAGGGGGATGATGTGGGGGGTGAGAGAGGGAGGGGGATGATGTGGGGGTGAGAGAGGGAGGGGGATGATGTGGGGGGTGAGAGAGGGAGGGGGATGATGTGGGGGGTGAGAGAGGGAGGGGGATGATGTGGGGGGTGAGAGAGGGAGGGGGATGATGTGGGGGGTGAGAGAGGGAGGGGGATGATGTGGGGGGTGAGAGAGGGAGGGGATGATGTGGGGGGTGAGAGAGGGAGGGGGATGATGTGGGGGGTGAGAGAGGGAGGGGGATGATGTGGGGGGTGAGAGAGGGAGGGGGATGATGTGGGGGGTGAGAGAGGGAGGGGGATGATGTGGGGGGTGAGAGAGGGAGGGGGATGATGTGGGGGTGAGAGAGGGAGGGGGATGATGTGGGGGGTGAGAGAGGGAGGGGGATGATGTGGGGGGTGAGAGAGGGAGGGGGATGATGTGGGGGGTGAGAGAGGGAGGGGGATGATGTGGGGGGTGAGAGAGGGAGGGGGATGATGTGGGGGGTGAGAGAGGGAGGGGGATGATGTGGGGGGTGAGAGAGGGAGGGGGATGATGTGGGGGGTGAGAGAGGGAGGGGGATGATGTGGGGGGTGAGAGAGGGAGGGGGATGATGTGGGGGGTGAGAGAGGGAGGGGGATGATGTGGGGGGTGAGAGAGGGAGGGGGATGATGTGGGGGGTGAGAGAGGGAGGGGGATGATGATGTGGGGGGTGAGAGAGGGAGGGGGATGATGTGGGGGGTGAGAGAGGGAGGGGGATGATGTGGGGGGTGAGAGAGGGAGGGGGATGATGTGGGGGGTGAGAGAGGGAGGGGGATGATGTGGGGGGTGAGAGAGGGAGGGGGATGATGTGGGGGTGAGAGAGGGAGGGGGATGATGTGGGGGGTGAGAGAGGGAGGGGGATGATGTGGGGGGTGAGAGAGGGAGGGGGATGATGTGGGGGGTGAGAGAGGGAGGGGGATGATGTGGGGGGTGAGAGAGGGAGGGGATGATGTGGGGGGTGAGAGAGGGAGGGGGATGATGTGGGGGGTGAGAGAGGGAGGGGGATGATGTGGGGGGTGAGAGAGGGAGGGGAGGAGTGAGAGTGGGGAGAGAGAGAAAAGAGGGATGGTGGCATGCAAATGAGGTGCAGGGTGGAAGTCGCATGTGGAGTGATGGACTATTGCCCACGTGGAGTGATGGACTATTGCCCATGTGGAGTGATGGACTATTGCCCACGGGACAGTGAGAGAGAAGGTGTGCACACGCATGAGTGCGTGCATGCATGGACTAGCCCCCAGCACCCAGCAGCACCCAGCAGCACCCAGCAGCACCCAGCAGCACCCAGCAGCACCCAGCAGCACCCAGCAGCACCCAGCAGCACCCAGCAGCACCCAGCAGCACCCAGCAGCACCCAGCAGCACCCAGCAGCACCCAGCAGCACCCAGCAGCACCCAGCAGCACCCAGCAGCACCCAGCAGCACCCAGCAGCACCCAGCAGCACCCAGCAGCACCCAGCAGCACCCAGCAGCACCCAGCAGCACCCAGCAGCACCCAGCAGCACCCAGCAGCACCCAGCAGCACCCAGCAGCACCCAGCAGCACCCAGCAGCACCCAGCAGCACCCAGCAGCACCCAGCAGCACCCAGCAGCACCCAGCAGCACCCAGCAGCACCCAGCAGCACCCAGCAGCACCCAGCAGCACCCAGCAGCACCCAGCAGCACCCAGCAGCACCCAGCAGCACCCAGCAGCACCCAGCAGCACCCAGCAGCACCCAGCAGCCAGCACTCACCGCTGGGCCACACGGCCTCCTCATGGTTGGGTCGCTTCCTCAGCAGCTGCTGCGCTAACTCCCACGCCGCTCCCCTGCCATGCCAGGGGGTAGGGGCGAGGGGGGAAAGATGGTGGAGAGGAGGCAGGAGGGGCAAGACACGGGAGGGCAAGGGGAGAGACGGCAAGCGGTTGAGAGGGGAGGGGAGGGGAAGGGAAGGGAAGGGCGGCATGCGGTGCAGTGCACTGGCAGACAGGAGCATGGGAGGCGTCTGTGTCATGGTATCAGCTCCCGTCTATCCTCCCAGTCATGGAGTGATAGGCACTCATGGTGGCATGCAGCAGCGGCAGCAGGGCGGCATGGGGGGCATGGGGGGCGCACCATTGGCATCGAGCACGGCCATGTCGTCATTGGGGTTGAACGTCGCCCTCCACTTGACCAGATCGTGGTCGCACCGCCTCAACTCCTCGTTGAACTCCTTCTGTGCGGCCAGGTGAGGAGGGGGCGAGCAGAGGGCAGAGGCAGCACAAGGGCAGAGCAATGTGAGAGGACGAGGTGGTCGGGTTTGGGTAAGACATGACAAGTGTGCGGCGGGGCGGGCAGAGAGGAGCAGGAGCAGCCCAAAAGAGGTAGGCAGGAGCAGGCTGTGGACCGTGCAGCATGAGCAGGCTGTGGGCCACGCAGCATGAGTGTCTGGCGCCCAGGCATGCGAGGGGGACGCATGCAAGGCACAAGGCACGCACCAGAGAAGACGCATTGCGCAGTCGCTTCATGCACAGCTGCATCAGCACTATGCCCTGCGCGGGACAGCATGGGGGGGACGGGGGGGAAGGAAGAAGGAAGAAGGGGGTGGAGAGAAAGGTGGGGGGATCAATAGGGGGAGATGGGAGGGGAAGGGAAGGCAGGCGGTGGTGACGAGTCCAGGCTGAGAGGCGCGAGGTATGGTGGTTGCAAGAGTGGGTGGGTTGGCAACACATGGATATGGGCAGGGAGGATACAAGGAAGGACGGGGTGGGAAGGGAGGCAATGGGGAGAGGGCAATGGAGCGAGTGAGGGAGTGAGTGAGGGGTGAGTGAGAGGGGGCCCTCACAGCGGAGTAGACATCAAAGCGGTCAGGGGTGTTGAGAGCCCAGAGGAAGGGCGAGAGCAGTGACGCCAGCGGGTCGGGCGGCAGGGGCGGCGTGGAGCCGGGCGGCATGACAAAGCGCTCCGGTGCACAGTACTTGGGATCCATCACCGTCTCGTTGGGTACCTGGTGCGGGGGGGGGGGGGGGGGAGAAGGAGAGGTGGATGGGTGGGGAAAAGGGGGGACGGGGGAAGAGGGGGGGGGGGAAGGAGGAAGGGGGAAGGGGGGGTTGAGAGGATGGTGGCACGTCATGAGGCGAGAGAGAAACGGCGCAACGGGATGGGGACGCAGTGCATGGCATAGTGGAGGGCAGTGGGCACATATGGCATGGCATGGGGGGGGGTGCGCCGTGCAAGTAAAGGCATGGCGAAGCAAGTGCGGGGGGGGGGGTGAGGGTGGACGCACGTAGTTGTGGCCGGAGCGCAGGTCAACACAGGCGCCCAGGTCGATGAGACACAGACTGCCCGGCAGCTCGTCCAGTATCAGGTTGGACGGCTTCACGTCCCTGTGCACCACTCCTGAAGGGATGGGGTGGAGGGGAGAGGAAGGGGGGTATACGTTGTGGCACAGTGAAGCTTGCAGTAGCAACGGTGATGGCGATGGTGGTGGCCCAGAGGAAAGGTGTTGGAGCGAATGCTGGTGAGGCAGGCGACAGGGTGAATGGCAGTGGCGAGGATGGCAAGCGTGCCAGGGGCAGTGGGTGGTGCTCTCACCACACGAGTGCAGGTGCTCTCACCACACGAGTGCAGGTGCTCTCACCACACGAGTGCAGGTGCTTGAGGTCGGAGAGGATCTGCCTCATCACCTCCTGCGCCACCTCCCACTCCAGCCACACCTGCTGCTCCCTCTCCTCCTCGCTGCCGCCCTTGCTGCCCCGCAACAACTGCACACACAGCCATGCATGCAGGCAGGCAGGCACGCGGGGCAAGAAGGAAAGCACAGAGGCAAGCGCGAAGGGAGCACATGTGCAAGGGCACAAGGACACAGGGAGGACGTGGACATGCCAAGTAGCACACACGCCCACCCACTCCCCATGCATCCCTGCACCGCCCCTGCCTCCGTCCCTCCCTGCCCTCATGCACCTCACCAGCCACCCCTGCCCTGCCCGCATTCCCCACACGGCACATCGTCCCCATCCCACCACAGCAGGCGACTCACAGCGTCATCGACCCCGAGCACGTGTTTGGCGAGGTTGAGCGGGTAGGAGCGGTGGCGCAGGAACTGGTCCAACGTGCGATCGCCCTGGTACTCCCATGCCAGCCACACGCCCTGTTGCTCGTTGCACGCACCGGGGGAGGGAGGCAGGGGGAGCAGGGAGGGTAGGAGGGAGGGGAAGGGGTAGGGTGAATGGCAGACGGGGGTGACGATACTAGTGCGGCAAAGAACACGTACCAACTGCAGTGGCAAATGTGCAGGGAGAGGTGGTGGGAGTGTGGGGAGGCACGGTGCGGGGCATGGGCCGTTGGAGCATTGAGACGACGCCTGCTCCCACCACACCCACGTGCCGCCTCCCACCTGCACCCACCCCGCGACCCACCAATCCCACTTGCTCCCTAGGCCCGGTCCCGCCTCACTGCAGCCCCAGCCCCCCCAGCCAGCCCGCTTCCAGCCATTCCAAAACCCAGCCCAGCCCGCCCCCCCCCACCCCAACGCTGGGCTGACCTCTTCGAGCTTGCCACTGGCCTGCTCGGGCGCCACCTGCATGGTGCCTATGAACCGCGCACACACGCCCGGCGCCGTGCGCTGTGGGAAGAAAGAGAGGGAGAGGGAAGAAGTGGCGCGAGGGCGGGTAGCATAAGCGAATGGAGAGAAAAGAGCAGCGAGCGCACAACCGGAGAGCTGGGGGCACACAAGGGGGGGGTGCTTGATCTCACCTGCAGGCGGTGGTTCATGTAGAGTTCGACGTCTCTCATCTCATCGGAGTGCTTCACTCGCGTCTTCACTCGCTTTAGCACCACCCGCCGCTCCCACCGCCCCTCCTTGCCCGCCTTGCCTGCCACCACATGCACACACACACGGCGCAGCGGAGCAAAGGATAGGGAGGGCCAGCGGTGAGGGGGTGGGCATAAGCATGGCTTGACGTGCGAGAGGGGAGACAGGCACACGCACGCACAGAGGAGCGAGAGGGAGAGAGAAAGGAGTGAGAGGGAGGATGGGAGGCGAGAGAAGGGGGCGAGTGTACCGTTGGAGATGAAACCCTCGTACACGACGCCGAAGCTGCCCTCGCCTATCTGCCGCCCCACCTTCACCCGCGCCGGGTCCAGCTCCCTGCCCAGCGCGCAGGGGGGGAGGGGGGAAGATGGGGCGCAGCGAAGAAAAGGGGGAAGGTTACAGGCAGCAGCAGGGCCGGCGCGCACGGGCCTAGCGAGCACTGGTGGCGGGGCATGGGCAGCAACGCAATCCGCAGGGAGTCTTGGGGGGGAAGGCTGGGTGGCGGGCGCATTACTTGTCGGTTCGCGCGTGCAGCGGCGCGACGAGGAAGTCGAGCAGCCCCATGAGCGGCGCGGGGGGCGCGGCGGCGTACAGCACGAGCAGCACCAGCGCCACCGTCCACTGGCGCAGCGACGCCTGCGCGGGTGACACGCGGAGAATGGGGGGGAAAGGGTGGAACGGAGATAGGATGAGTGGCGGACGGGGAAGGAACGAAAAAGCAAGGGGTTGGAAGGGGAGGAAAGAAAGGAGACGGCGGAGAGGCGAAGGGAAAGAGAAGGAAGAGACGAGGCGGTGGAGCGGAGGCGCATGAACGAGTCGGGTGCGCAGGGGCATGGCGGGTGGGCGGAGCAGCGGGCGCGACTGACCGGGTCGTCGAGCGGAATGGAAAGACCCGCGTCCGCCGCGAGTTGCGCGATCTCGCGATGCACCGCCACCACCGCCTGCTCCACCTCGGGCGGCAGCCTGCCATGGCGCCACGCGAGTCGATCATGTGAAAGCAGGGACATGGAATGACATGAAAACGACCGGCACGGCGTGGAATGATTCGAAGCTGGCTGGAGTGGAGCGAACTGCTCGTCCCTCAGCGAGTCATGAGAGCGTTTAACCGGAATCGGTTAAAAAATGGCGGCGTGCGAGTAACATGCGACGCAGCACACTGCACGTGTTATTGGACGCGCGGCCACCGCTCGCTAGAACGAACGAGATCGATTAAAGACAATTTGTCATTCTGCCGAAGCATCCTGAGCCTGGAATTAAACCCAAATGGACACTCCACCGCCGATTCCAGCTCCATGCGACGATGCGCGCTCAAACTTACCTATCACCGACGCCTCTCATCATGCTAAGCTCCTCTACCACCCACTAGTTCGACCATCCACGTTGCAAACTACGACACAGCACCCTATCCGGCGTGTGCGCCGCTCACCCATTAAGCAGCGCCTCGGCCATCTGCCCGTACGCCTCGCCCGCCATCCCCAACGCATCCGCGCCTCCGCTCTCCGCGCTCCCCACCGCCGACACTACTGCCAACCGCCGCCGATCGCGGCCTACCGCCGGTCGTGGTATGCATGGCGCGATGCGCTTCCTACCGGAGAAGAAGGAGGAGAATGACGACGCGGCGGAAGCGTGCGGGAAACGGAAGGGAGAGGACTGGCTGCTGAGTGAAAGTCGGGACGAGGCCAAGCGGATTAACGACGCGGAGAGGGAGGCGACTGGCCCATACGACGGCGACGCGTTAATCAACGCGCTGGAAGACGATATGCACGCGTCAATGGCGGCGGTCCGTACGCTCGACGCGGCTAAAGCCATTCTCGCATCACCTCGGTCCTACCACTTCTTTGTTAGCTGCTAAAGCCACTCAATAATAGCAGGTGATGTGGTGTGTTGAGATCATTTGTTGACGAAGCGATGTTGACAGGGACCTGCGTGCGACGCTTGGCGAAACATCTGCCTCATTTCTACGCAAGTCTAGGACCGTTGGCGAACGCT